GGGAATAAATTCTTATCATTACAATTAGATAAATTTGATTTTGACCTAAGTATTAAAAAAAGAGACGATATTATGATTTTTTAATTCACAACAAAGAAAACAATGCATTGGATAATAATGCAGGATATTTTTTCAGTTTGATACAATTTAAAGATAACTGTAGAAGTAAGTAACTTAATGGAGAGACCAAGTTCTTTTCAGCTATGTCAATGATATGGATGACAACATTCACAGAAAAAAAAAAGTCTATCCAGAAAAATCACTAGAGTTTGTAGAGAGGTTGAATGCTTTACTAGCTGTCTGCCATTCCTTAGATGTATTCTGTTAAATCTGAATATTTTATCCATTTACCTCTGCTAATGAAATTGATCAATAGCATTTTTCATTTTTATCTAGAGCTGAATAAAATCTCATCTCAAATTATTTCATGGAAGAAAGGTTGAGAAGAATGGAAGGAAAGACCTTTGATTCCAAATTAATTCAAACAAATAGAGGGAAGTAAGTAAATAGTAAGTGCTATTGGTAGATGATCACTTCAATGTGGCATTCCTGACCTGCAATTATTTACAATTAAAAACAAGAGATTTCTCTCTGATAGACCAAATCAGCAGAGAAATATGCAAGGTCTCCTTATAGAGACCTCATAGCCCCAAAGCCAGCAGGATCTTGACTATAAACTGACCCTATTAAAGTGTCTAAACAAGGACTATGTCCACGAGAAAGAGTCAGCTAAAGGGGTGTTACAAAAGGAGCCATTATAGGCAAATTTTGGCAACATCCAAATAAGCTAGTCCAGATGACTCTTGTCTGAGCACATGGGAAAATGATGGTTTTAGAACAAGACTATCTTTATAGTGGACCATAGTTGTCTAAGCTTTCTTAGCAACATAAAATCATTTCAAATTTTTTCTGAGATTCAGAGAAGTTAAGTAAATTATTCTATTAATAGGTTAGTTATTCATTCCTGAGTGGTAGAGTTAGGATTCAGAACTGTGAGTCTAACTATCAAACAAAGAACTGCCACTAGAACTATGTCTTTAGGTTCTCATTATTCTTAAAATATGAAAATAGTCAAAATGTTATAATTTTAAAAGTCTCATATTTTGTTTAATCTGTTCTGAGGAAATTTCAATATGCACATGAACAAAATTATACATCTGTTAAAGATACACATGTAGTTCTAATCAAGCTGAGCCATTTTGCTGCTTCTCACCTGAAGATCCACATCTTCAGGTAACTTTAAAAACAGACAGTACTTTTGGGGAATATGAATACTTTTTAAAGCTCTTGAAAATGCAGTAAATTCAACTAGGTGGAGTGGGGGTGGGAAGGAAGATATCTTAGCCCATGCAGGCTGCTATAATAAAATGCCATAAACTGAATGGCTTATAAACAACATATATGTATTTCTCATAGTTCTGGAGTCTGGTAAGTCCAAGACCAAGGCACCAGCGGATTCTGTGTCTGGCAAGGGCCCACTTTCTCACAGAGGGCACCTTCTCCTGTGTCTTTAGGCTGTAGAAAGGGGAGGCAGCTCTCTGGGGCCTCTTTTCCAAGTGCAATAATCCCATTCATGAGGGCTCCACCTTTATGACCCAACCACCTCCCGAAGGTCTCATCTCCTAATACCATCACCATAGGGGTAGGATTTCAATATGAATTTGGGGGTGAGGGGAACACAAAGTTTCAGACAACAGCAGAAGGGAGGAGTGTTCATCATCCAACAAAATCAAAATTAATCCATTCCCTTTAGAAATCTTTCTCCTTAGAGTCTATTCATTGTAGCAGTTGCTCATTGATTCAATCATTCAGTAAATATATATGGAGCCTTTACAGTGATCCAGGCATTCGAGCTATTATCAGTGGTTCTCTCTGTCTTTCCTTTGTCTTCCCCCTAAACTGCAGCCCACTTTTACCCCATTCTTTAACCAAGACCTTTCCATCAGTGCACAGCATCTTATTATTTCTAATATACACCTATCGAGTCTCTTTGTCTTCTTCCAATTCCATTCTTTTTTGATTACCTGATGAGTACAACAAAAGGTTTCCAAGAGCCCATCAAGGCAAACAGAATTCTCCTGAGAAGATGGAGAAGTTGGGATAACTATGCAAACCCAAAGCTTCTGTGTCTTGTACAAATAGTTTGCCTATATTACACTTTGCCAGATTTTCCATTCTCAAACCTCTGCCTCTAGTGATGAACATATGAACAGAAAACCAAAATTGGCAATAATTGGCTAAAACAGAAGATGTTTTACTCTGTAATGTGGAACTATTTATATATATTACTAAAGAAAGTAAGTTTAAAAATAAACATTTACTGTACCCCCACAATATGCTGAAGTAAAAAAAATAAAATAAACATTTAAAGAATACTGATTTTTATGAGCTTTTGGATCATAATAGAGAACATTGTTATAGTACATGTTTAACTTTCTATAATTTTTATAAATATGATTTTAGAAATTCTATTTTTTGTTGAGGAGGTAAATGTTTGCCAAGGTAAATACTGTAGTGTTTTCCTTTTTACTCACTAAACATTCCAAGTTTTCATCTACCTATATCATATTGAATACTACCCACCTTCCTTTGACATTCTTCTTTAGATTTATTTTAGTAGAATTTATCATCTAGTATAAACTGTCATTATAAAAAATTTCAGCAGAAATTTCCCTTAGATTATTTTTTGATGGGCAAAAGCAAATCCTTCTGTGATTAGATTTTTCAGGACCAACTCACCTATCAAACAGTTCTCCTCCTGTGACGAGTTCTAGGACCAGACTGATTTCTGTAGGGGTTTCAAATATCTCTTTAAGTTTTATCTGGGGAAAAATATAAAAAAAAAAATCACAAATTTCTTATTTCCATCTTTCTTGGAAATAGCTAAAGCTATGGTTAAAACAACACTCTGCAATAGTAATATGCTGTTGATAAAGGTTCCTTATTCTATTAATAGTATTAGGAAGATATTTGGCACTCTTTCTGGGATGTTGATTTTATCAATTACCTCATTTTTTTCAAAGGTCCTATAGAATTTTGACTCTTTTTTCTTTTGACAATTAAAAAATCCCTGCCTTAGAAACACTTCCTCACTTTTCTAAATTATTCCAATTTCTGAATTGCTCCCAAATCAAAAACAAAAACAACAGAACTTCCTAAACCATTTGAAGGCATCGTGATTGAGAGAAATGCAAATGTCTTTTTCTCTTGGAAATGAAAAACTTGGCATTAGGGGTCTGAGGAGGGCAGGACCAGGTTAAAGTCTGTCTGTGTGTAAAGGACACCCCTCAAGAGCTAAAAAGTTGTTGGTGCATAAAAGGTCCTTGGAAACGTAGTGGTGGTAGTGATTTGATTGACCATAACAGGGTTTTCTTCACAGTCAGAGAATCCAACCAATTTGGGGTATCTTTCTCCATACATCTGGGAATGTAGTCGCCAGGACTGAACTATGTTTGAGGAAGATTCCACACTGACTTCTCTTTGGAAAGAAAAGTGATGGGTAATGTAAAAGTGGTGACTTTTGTGGATTGTTTACCCAAAGCCCTTTCCCTCTCCTTTAGTACAAACAGAACCCTAATTTTGTTCAGGGAAGCAAGGTGCCTCGCCCCATGGCGTAGATTATGAATGATCTAAGCCACTAATTTCCCAGCCTCCATGCAGTTAAAGGTGACCTTGTGACCAGCCCTGGCCAAAAAAATTTGAAGAGAATTCTGCTGTAGCAGTTTCTGAGAAAGCTTCTTTTCTTCTCATCAGACTCTGCTAGTGAGACTTTTGCATCTACTTCCTGTCTTGGCAGATAGAACTGAAGTCAATCTTGTGACTCTTGTGGCACAGCCATTTTAGGCCCAGGAGGGAAAACCTGAGGGTGAAAGTCAACACACGGAGCACGACAGAACCAAGGATGGGATCTGGGTCCTGGGTGGTGTCACCGAGGAGCTGAGCCGGTGCTAGAAGCTGCCTGCCTTCTGTTGCTTGTAACATAAGAAAAATAGGCGGGGCGCGGTGGCTCACGCCTGTAATCCTAGCACTCTGGGAGGCTGAGGTGGGCGGATTGTTTGAGCTCAGGAGTTGGAGATCACCCTGAGCAAGAGCGAGACCCCGTCTCTACTAAAAATAGAAAGAAATTATCTGGACAACTAAAAATATATAGAAAAAAAATTAAGCCGGGCATGGTGGTGCATGCCTGTAGTCCCAGCTACTCGGGAGGCTGAGGCAGGAGGATTGCTTGAGCCCAGGAGTCTGAGGTTGCTGTGAGCTAGGCTGACGCCAAGGTACTCATTCTAGCCAGGGCAACAGAGTGAGACTCTGAGTCAAAAAAAAGAAAAATATTTGTTTAGACTACCATATTCAAATTCTCTGCTATTTATAGCTGAATGTATCCCTAACTCATATATTCAGTTTTAAGCCCTTTGCCTTGAGCCTAAGCATCCTCCTAGACATCACAGCTTCCTCAGAGAAATGAGCAAAATATTTTCTTTAAGTAGATGGCTTAATTAAAAAAAAAAAAACAACTCGTGGCCTGAAAATAATTTTGTTCTTTTTCACTTCATTGGTTCAAGAAAGCTTTTCACTAGACTGTTTCCTCAGAGGCTTTGTCTGGACCTCGCCTAAAGCAGAGCTTCTGAGGACATTTTATTTTCCCCATTCAAGTACATCATTCATTTGCATCTTCACATTGTTCTCGAAGCAGATCTTCTCTCAAGGGAGACTGAAATGACTCTGGAAAGCAATGCATTTTCTTCACAGGCTTTTTCAGCAATGGCATATTAATAAGCTAGGCACACAAAAGAAGGAAAAAGCCAGTGTTTTATTAGAGTGAAACAAAACTCTTCAATTTTTATCCTTTTATGCATAAAAATGAAGATGGTATATATTGAAGGGCTGTCCATTTTGGAACTTTTTCAGGGCGATAATGTGTAAGATTTATTCAGCCAAGGAATTGAAAATGTGATGACATGGGGCCATGGTGGCTACCAGTGGTGGCAGAATCCCCTTCTTGTTGTCAGCATGGACAGTGAAGGACAAAGATCTCATACAGCTTTGGAAATTATTTGAAATAGTAGGTTAAAAACCACTTACAATGTTTGGATGTGAGAGGCGAAGAAGAACTCCTATTTCAGTTCTTACGATTTTTTTGTCCACCTAAAAAGCAAAATAAAAGAGATAAACTGAAAAGAACTCCTACCTTGGAAATATCTTCATTGTAGCAGAGAATCAGAACAGCAATAACTACCTGGGCGAATCATGTAATTGGCAGAGGCTAAGTCCTAAGCTTTTTTCCTGTGTCTCCTTCCTCCCCTTCCTTTTCAGCTATATGTCCTTCCTCTTTGCTTCGGGCATGAGGTAGAGCCAGTAACTAACATGAATCCCAACTTGTCAGACTCTTTGCATCACGTCTTCCCTCCTTTCTCATCAAGAGTCATCATCATCACTATCACCACGAAGGCACAAGTTCATCTCAACCTATCCCTCTTCCTTCTCTTCTTTTCTTATATGGAATTCTCTGTCTCCACCCAAGTGGAGCTGTCCATCACTTCACCTGCCTTCCTCACACAGAGATGATGCACCACCCAGCCTAACCAATCATAGTCCTCTCTTCCCTGGCCATAGTGATAGGGCTAGGGATGTCTACCAGACTCATGTCATCTCAGTCAGGGTCCTCTCCAGAAATTTTGCTAAAATAATCAAGAAAGAGGTATTCTCTTTTTCTCTGAAATTGTGAGAACAAAAGAGGATAGTGTCAGCTGCTACCAGTGACCATTGTTTATACCATGTGGTGACCACTTTACTGAAAATGAAGCCAACACAGGAAAAAAACACTGCAGAGATATGAAGAAAAAGTACTGTGGATCTAATATAATTCAATCATCTGGATTCAGTTATGAATAAGCTGATTTTACCCTTTGATCTTTCTAACTATATAAGCCACTAAATTTCCTTTTTCTGCTTAAGTTATCTAGAGTTAGTTTCTGTCGCTTGCCATTAAAAAACCCTTGTTAGTTTATCTTTACCACTTGGTCTGTTTGGGATAATGTCCGTTTAGTTTAGGATATTCCAAAATTAGGGATGCTTCTTTTCTCTAGGCCAATGATTGACTCTTTTAATCACAATGAATGAGCTGGCCTTTCAGATCTCTAAACGTCATATACTAGACAGAAAGTTTTTGGTGTCCTCCTCTACCAACAAAATCCATCAAAATAATATACAGATAAAAACTTACATTCTTACTGTGGTTTCTGCCATCTAAGCTGTCCAGAACCCTTGGACTGGAAGAGTTCATATGATTTTAGAAATGAATATGAAGAAGTTTATGTGCAATTCACAGCCAAACTCTGTGGGCAAGAGATTGCTTCAAATGGTGGGAATGGGTTCTACTCTTTCAGTTACTTCTCCGGAGGAAGAAAGAGTTGGCCTTAGTAGAAATCCAATCACATTTCAATGGCAATAACCAATCACAACTTTTAAGGTGATGAAGAACAACATCTATTTATTTAATTTTTATTCTTTAATGAAAACACTAACTTTTAAGGACACATTCTTCAAAAACAAAAAAGGAATTTACAAACTTTGTATGTTCTTTTCCTTGGTTGCAGCATATAAATGTATTTTACATTTATTTTCTCTGGCAAATACAATTTTGCCAGACCCTAGAGTACCTTAATTAAAGAGAGCAGTCATCATTTATAAATACTTTTAGTTTTATGAGAAGGAAAAATGTTTACAAGGAGATGGTAAAGAGTTTCTATTCCAATAAGAGATTTCTCAAGAGTTTATTTCACTGTTGTATATAATAAAGCATTAAATGGCCATATAGTCATGGTAAGGCCTCTTAAACTATAATAAAATTTTGGTCATTCATGTAGGCAATTAGGAGGCTCAGGATGTTGTAATGGATTTTTGCCAAAGAAAATCAAACTATTGAAATCAACTTGCAATACTACCAAACAAAAACGTATTCTACTTATGTTGAATGGATGCCAATCAGTGCAACCCAGCACATTTCTTAAAATATTCACAAACATCCCACGTAAAAATATAGCATCAGCTATAAATTCTGACTAAGAAGGGGATGAAGATATGATCTGTGCATTTCAATACCTGACAACAAATACAAAGTAGTTCCATAACAAGGAAGATTCACTGTGAGCAGAGAAAAGCAAGTTGGTAAGAAACAACCTAACTCAAGTGACTGCACATCCAGTTGATAGGCTCTGGGTCTAAAGGAAGGCAGACATCTTGATACATCCGGTGCTCTATGACTCAAGAAATTTGGAAGCTGCTTTACCAGTCTTCCTCAGACACTAAACCATAGCTACTTTGAATGATTCAGACTACATATAGACCAAAATTCTTTTAGTTGCATGTAACAAACACCCAACTCGAACTCACTTAAGACAAAAAGGTAATTTATTGGCACATGTAACTGGGAAGTCAGAGTGGATCTCTCTACAGACATAGCCAAAATCAGAGGTTCATACTCAATGCATCTCTCTCCCTCTCCTCTTCCTGTTTTCCTCCTCTTTCTTCTCTCTCTCCTCCTCATCTCTCTTTTCTCTCCCTCTCTGGCTCTGTTCATGTTTGTGTCTCTGTTTCTCTCCCTCTCTCCTTTCCAAATGGCAGGAAACATGGCCATAGAAGCTCTGAACCTATATTTCTCAGGCTCACATTTTAAAGGGAAGAGACTCTCTCTCTCTCTTCATCTATCTAATCTCAAGTAGAGTTCTCCTTGGCCTTGCTTGTTTTCTGTGCCTACTCTTGTATGTAGGAGACATATAATTGTGACAAGGCCAAGCATGGGTCAGGGGCCCTCTCCTTTGACCACCATTGAGGGAACTGGGGAGGCTTGGTTCTCCTGAAGAATGGATGTGGGCAAACACTGAAGATTCCCTTACTCTTTGCTTTTAATATTTGTTCCCCCCTTTTTACATTTGCATAAGATCATAAAGTATTACTTTCTCTGCTTCTTCCATGTCCCAGACTAATCAACAAATAATTAACAATTATTCATTTGTAATAACCCTTGCTACCAGTAAGTAGATTTAATATTCAAGGTTTTGACCACATACCGGTAGCCCAAATGGGCCCTACCAAATAGTAATTTAGAATTTTTCCTAGAAACTCTTTTGAATCCAAACTGAAAAGCTGAAGTAGGGTAATTGCTTAGCTGGTAAATAAGCCTAGCAAACTACCTCACATATGTACCTCCGTTCTGCCATGTTATTCTATAATTCTTGGCAGTAACCTTGGTAATTGTTTTGCTGTTACTATTAATAGTAATGTAAGTTGAAGAAAAGCAAAGAAGTCTAAGAAAATGATGGCTCTATCCAGTATGAAAGTTTGGAGTAGAAATTAGGATAAAGAAGTTCATGAAACCTATGTGTTTTGTGCGATAGAAGTGGACATAACTTTCATCATATCGTCAAAATACTTGAGGCAGAGAAAACATAAAAATTTAATTTATTTAAAAGCAAGAAAATGTGTTCCATGGAACTGGATATTCAAGGATCCCTGAAGGAATAATGGCATTTATATGTAACGAATGTATAGTACATAGTAAGGGTCTGACATAGGCTTTATGTGCTCAGCTCCATATTAAATAATTGGGACATATGAAAAAAAAATATGGTCTCTCCCTGAGGTAGATTACAATCTAATTTAGGGGATCAGACTCATCTACATAATATTATCAGAATATAATGAAGGATAGTAAAGGAAAAATGCAAGTTGTGAACAAGTTTTGTTTCAAAAGTTCCATTGCTACAGTGGAAGATCATTGCTCTGAGTCTAAATACTGCTCATATTCAAACGGTGGGCTCATTCTAAAAGACTTTTGATGTTATCAGGCATGTCGAAAATCACACTACTGTTAATGTAAAATGAAGAATGATTTGCTGGATTTTGCACAGGGCACATAAAGATGGTGTGATATGTGGATTGCAGGTGGCCGGTCAGTGATATCAGACAACCCAATCATGGGATATAGACAGTATGGTCCAGGAGGTAGTGGAGTAATAGAACAAAGCTCTAAACGTTCTTTAATTTAGTGAAAAAATTATAAATTTCATGAAAATTTGCTATCTAGCAAGACACTCAATACCCACTTGTACCAAATGTGAGAACTTTGAAAAAGAGAGGCATTGCTAGAACAGTCAGATGACAAGAACAGATCTCATCTAAAGAGCTCTTCCTCACTTTCTATTTCAGTTTTTGCAGATGCTGTTGAAGAAAATTCTGATACAGAGTATTTTTATCATCATCTTTTCCTCACATCAACAACGGTTTCCTTGCTAATACAAAATAAATGTATTTAATATATTTGCCATTATTGCACAATTCTTTAAAAAATGTTTGTGGACATGGGTGTCCCTAAAATAAGATTCTTAGTATTAGGATTTATTTTTCTCACTGCACTCACTCCAAATTTAGGGTTTATGTAATATAGGTCTTTCCTCCATCTTCACATATTTCTGATCAATGTAAAATGCTAACAGGTAGTGGGATTCTTTAGTTTTTTCACATGATGTATTTATGTTAAACAAATATTTTCTAATATAAATAAACATTTTGTAGAAGTTTATTTTTTACCATGTTATGTAATACATATTGCATATTGGGATGTCTTTTCTGTTTAGTTCTTTAAGAGTTAAATTATCCAAACTCTAAAAATACTCAGAACAGACCAGATTGCAAAAAGTCTGGGCTAGCAATCCTCTAGTGTAATCATTTGCTTTGAATTCAGAATTAACTTTTCTTTAAAAACAATTTTTAAAAGGGTAATTATTTTTACAGTATACTCTATATTATTGTCTCAACACAGGGTGTGGTCTCAGGGCCCTTCCAGGTCCCTTAGACACTCTCAGGGCATATGTGAGGTTCTCCCTTTTCCAATTGCGCATCTGAGTGAAGCCAGATTTTTTCATATACAGTCAGCCCTCCGTATCCATGGGTTCTGCATCTTAGATTCAACCAGCCATGGATTGAAAATCTTATTAAAAATAACAATACAACAATAAAAATGATACAAATAAAAAATACAGAAAGCAACTATTTACATAACAGTCACCCACTTGTTTTAGGTATTATATTTAAAGTATAGAGGAGGATGTGTGTAGGTTACATGCAAATACTATACCATTTTATAA